GTTTCTTTGTTGCTGCTTCAGCTGCCAACACAGGGCAGCGACATCAGGGTTTCCATGTTGCAGGTTTGCCCACATTTTCCCTGGTCAAGTCCCCTGCAGTGGCCATCGGCTTCCCTTTTTAAAAAAATCATTGAGAGCAGAAAACCAGTGTGGTGTAGTGGTTAAGAGTGATGGAGTCTAATCTGGAGAACCGGGTTTGACTCCCCACTCCTCCTCCACATAAAGCCAGCTGGGTGACCTTGGGTCAGTCACAGCTCTTTCAGAGCTCTCTCAGCCCAAAAAGTAAGTCTAGCTTGCCACCTAGTGGTGCATAATGCTAAAAAAGCTGGAACTTCAGGTGGCCAGACAATCTTAGGATCTCCTGGCTATACTACACACAATGCCATATGATGGCCCTGGTCACACGGGCCAGATAACGCGGGGGGGAGGTGTGGCTGTTTGCCCCGGAGCAAAATGTATTTATTTTATTTATTTATTTAGGGATTTGTACCCTGCCCTATCCCGTAGCTCAGGGCGGCTAACAACGGCCAAGCCGAATTTCAAATCTAAAACAATAGACAATATTACATACGATAAAATTCAGTGCGGTAGCCCGATCACACTGTCCCCCGAGTCTCCGTGCTTCGGCTGTTAGCTGGCGATCACACGGCGATGCTGCAGCGTGGCAAAGAAGCGGCGCGGCACAATCACACAAGCGTTTCGCGTTTGTGCACATGCGCAGTTTTGCGGAGCAGCGCTGCTTTCAGTTTCGGGTTTGTGCGCATGCGCTTACAAAAAACATCTGGTTTGCGACAGGATGGGCGCCAGATGCCACGGGATACTAGCGCTCCCGTGATCAGACGCCCGCCTGTTCCGTGCGTTATCCGGATACTAGTGCACTTTCCTTGGTACTTTTTAACTCCGCATCTTCGGCGGGACGCCACGGGTTGGCTTCCCAGACGTTGCGGTGTGACCGCGCCCCAAAAATCCACCCAACGTTCGTGCCTTTCGCGCGGCAAATTCTCCATGTGACGGGGACAATTATTATTATCACTGAGAGCTAGCGTGTTGCCATGGTTAGAGTGTTGGACTAGGATCTGGGAGACCCCGGCTCACACAAACACACAAAGTGGCCTCCTACTGAATCAGACCATTTGGTCCATCAAGGTCAGCAGGGCTATTTTTGGGCAGGAACGCACAGGAACGGAGTTCCGGCTGGCTCCCAAGCCAGTCACTCTCAGCCTAGCCTACCTCACAGGGATGTTGTGAAGATAAAAAGGAGGCGAGGAGAACAGTGTAAGCTGTCTTGGGTCCCCGTTTGGGACAAGCGTGGGGGTAAATGGATTAAATATTAAGGACTAATAATATCTGCCTGTCAGGTTCTCAGAATCCTCAAAAAAAAAAAAGTTAGTCTGGGCCCGTTCACATGGAGAAGTTGCCGTGCTAAAGACACGAATGTCAGGCGGATTTTTGGTGCATGATCACACCGCAACATCTGGGAAGCGTAGCGCACCCGTGGCCAAGCCGTGGCATCCCGCCGAAGATGCGCAGTAAAAAAGTACTGCAGAAAGTGCACTTGTATCCGGAAAGTGCACTAGTATCCGCCCACCCAGCGGTTCGAAAGCAGTAAATATAGCAAGTAGATAAATGGGTACCTGCCCTTAGGTGGCAGGGGGCACCCTCCTCTGTGCGAGGTGTGTGGCAGGAGCATCAGTGGCGGCGGAGTGGCGAAGTGGCTGAGCGGCGGAGCAGCGGCAAGATTGGCAGCGGTGGCGAAGCGGCGGCGAGGTTGGCGAAGCAAGCCCTGGTGGCCAGTGAGCGTAACATCGAGTGACGAAATCTGGCAGAGGCAGAGTCGTGGAAGGCGTGGGGGCGCAGGCGCGGCAGAGCCGGAAATGGACGTTAGCCGGAGCTGTAGCTAACACGAACTGTGCACCAAGACGGGCCCACCAGAGGAAGCCACTGGACTGGAAGACCTACTCCAGGACACCAGAGACTGAATGCCGACACCTGAAGACTGAGAACAGCAAGCCCTGCCACCTGGGTGCCGGTAGGCAGCCCCGTCCCTTGTGTAATACGTGGCCTTAGATAGGAAAATTGGAAATTGGAATCTGTATGTAAACCGCTCAGAGACCCTTCGGGGTTAGAGCGCTATATAAATCGAATGTATAAATAAATAAATACATAAAAATGTGGGACAGGGGCGGGCGTCTGATCGCAGGAGCGCTACTATCCCGTGGCATCCCATCCACATCCCATCGCAAACCGGATGTTTTTCGTAAACGCATGCGCACAAACACGTAACCGAAAGCAGTGCTGCTCCGCGGAACTGCGCATGCGCACCAACATGAAACGCTTGCTGCGCGGCTTCTTTGCCACGCTCCAGCATCCCATTTCATCGCCAGCTAACAGCATAAGCGTAAAGCCTTGGGGGACCGTGTGATCGGACTACTGCGCTTTATTTTGCTCCGCGGCTAACAGCCACGCCTCCCCCCCCCCCACGTTATCCAGCCCATTGTGACTGGGGCCTCTGTAGCTCTTTTTGTTGCCAAGATATAAGGGGAAAAGGAATAGCTGCAAAGAAAGAGGTTAGCAATGTGGTTTTTTTAAAAAATGAAGCTGGGATGGATTGTTACACCACTGTAGCAATCTGTAGACTGCCAGTCTTTTTAAAAAAGTGGTCCTGTGGCAGGGGAATGGCTGCCGGGGGCGCTGTGGCATAGAACACGGCACTGATGTGGGCAGGTTCCCCCCCATCTCTGGCAGGAATGGGATGATCCAGCCACGATTTCCTGCAATCGCTTCTAAAATATTGCCGCAAAGCAGGTTTGGGGGAAGATTGCTGGCGGGGGGTGGGGGAACCCAGGAAAGTGCACTGAAGCACCCTGCCATTTCCCAAAAGCATCCAAGCCCTGTGAGTCAGCGGCTGCAGCCGACAAAATTCAGCGACAGAAAAAGAAATGGATCATCCTAATTTCTGAACCTCCAAAGGAACGTTAGAAAACTTATTGAGGGCCAAAAGTTATCTTTCTGTTGTTGTTGTTGTTCAGTCGCACAGTCGAGTCCGACTCTTCGCGACCCCATGGACCAGATCTCGCCAGGCCTTCCTGTCTTCCGCCGTCCTCTGAAGTTTGCTCAATTTCATGTTCCTTGCATCTATGACACTGTCTAACCATCTCACCCTTTGCCGTCCCCGTCTTCTTTGACCTTCAATCTTTCCCAGCATCAGGGTCTTCTCCAGGGAGTGCTCCCTTCTCATTGGGTGGCCAAAGTCTTTGAGCTTCAGTTTCATTATCTGGCCTTCCAGGGAACAGTCAGGATTGATTTCTTTTAGGATTGACTGATTTGATCTCCTTGCAGTCCAAGGGACTCTCAAGAGTCTTCTCCAGCACCATAGTTCAAAAGAATCTATTCTTCGGCGCTCGGCCTTCCTTATAGTCCAACTCTCGCAGCCATGCATGACTACTGGGAATACCATTGCTTTGACCATGTGGACTTTTGTTGGCAGGGTGATGTCTCTACTTTTTATCATCCTGTTTAGGTTCGCCATCGCTTTCCTCCCAAGGAGCAGGTGTCTTTTAATTTCATGGCTGCTGTCACAGACTGCGGTGATCTGGGATCCCAGGAATGTGTATCTTTCTGTACAGCATTCCAATTTGGGTCCTATTTTATTTGTTGTTAATTGCTTTGCATGTGTTACAGAGACTGTTGCTTGCTGTATTTTGCACTATTTGACCTCTGAAGAAGGCTCTTGTGAGCCAAAACGTGTCAGGTCATATACTGTCTTTTTGTGTGTGTATTTGTAACTTTGAACATTTTTTGAGGCTTTATTTGGGCCCCTACTAGGTTTTTATATGTCTTTGTAATAAACACTCTTTTGTTTGGTGTAGTGGTTAAGTGCGTGGACTCTAATCTGGGAGAACCGGGTTTGAGTCCTCACTCCTCCACTTGCACCTGCTGGATGGTAGTTCTGGTAAGAGCTGTTCTTGAAAAAGAGCAGTTTCTGTCAAGAGCTCTCTCAGCCCCACCTACCTCCCAGGGTGTCTGTTGTGGGGAGGGGAAGGGAAAGGAGTTTGTAAGCCATTCTGAGACTCCTTTGGGTAGTGAAGGGTGGGGTATAAATCCAATCTCTTCTTCTTCTTCTTCTGTTTGCTGTAGTGGTTAAGTGCGTGGACTCTAATCTGGGAGAATCAGGTTTGATTCCCCACTCCTCCACTTGCACCTGCTGGATGATCTTGGGCAAGCCATAGTTCTGATAAGAGCTGTCCTTGAAAAAGAGCAGTTTCTGTCAGAGCTCTCTCAGCCCCGCCTACCTCACAGGGTGTCTGTTGTGGGGAGGTGGAGGGAAAGGAGCTTGTAAGCTGCTCTGAGAAGTGAAGTAGTGAAGGGCGGGGTATAAATCCAATCTCTCCTCCTCCTCCTCCTCCTCCTCTTCTTCTTCATGAGTGGGCATTGAATCCGGGTTCTCCCAGGCCCCGATCCAGTACTGACTCCTATGGCACCCTCGATATTGTTACGGACCCGACCTTTTTTCCTGCTGGCAAGACTTGCTTCTGTTAGCTTGACCCTCAGAAGGGTTGGCTGATGTCTTCCTAGCCAGTTTGGTGTAGTGGTTTAGTGTGCAGACTCTAATCTGGGAGAACCGGGTTTGATTCCCCCACTCCTCCACTTGCACCTGGCTGGATGACCTTGGGCAAGCCACAGTTCTGATAAGAGCTGTCCTTGAAAAAAGAGCAGTTTCTATCAAGAGCTCTCTCAGCCCCACCTCCCCCACAGGGTGTCTGTTGTGGGGAGGGGGAGGGAAAGGACTTTGTAAGCCGCTCTGAGACTCCTTTGGGTAGTGAAGGGCGGGGTATAAATCCAATCTCTTCTCTTCTTACTTTTGTTTTTAATTTTTGGCCCGCAATTAGCTTTCTAAACTTCCTTTGGAGGTTTGTGCTTTGTTGCTTTAGATTTTCTCCCCCCCCCCCCCCCCTCTCTTTTCTTTGTAATCCTAATTTCTGTTCTCGGCCATCCCACAGGGCTGACTGGTTCCTGCTGGACACCCGCAAGGTCCGCCATGTTGCCGTGGGTCTGTTCTGCTGTGGAGTCTGCATCTACCTCGCAGGCAAGTTGGGTTTCTCTTTGCCTGTCAGGGCCAACCCTACCGTTATCACCCCAGAGCCAAACTAGAGGGTTTTCCTCAAGGGCTCAAACCAGATGAGACACTTGGGGGGGAGGAGGCAGGGATTGTATTCTCCTGGGTTCCTTATGAGTAAGCGGCACTTACAGGAGGTCCCCGTGATTTGGATCACGGCCACAGTGCAGGAAGCGAGGTTAACTCCACACACAGATCAGTTCCCCAGGAGAAAATGGCTGCTTTGGAGGGTGGACTCTGTGGCATTATAGCCTGCTGAGGCCCCTCCCCTCCCCAAACCCCGCCCTCTCCCGGCTCCACCCCCAGCTCTCCAGGTATTTCCCAGCCTAGCACTGGGAAATACCCGGAGGTGGAGCCGGGAGAGGGCGGGGTTTGGGGAGGGGAGGGGCCTCAGCAGGCTATAATGCCACAGAGTCCACCCTCCAAAGCAGCCATTTTCTCCCGGGGAACTGACCTCTTGTCCTCTGGAGATCAAATGTAATACCACGAGATTTGCAGGGCCTAACTGGAGATTAGCAGCCCTAATATACCAGCCTTACACAACTTGGGGAGGACACGGACCACAGTGAGGTACAATACTCTATGACCTACCTTCCAAAGCATCCATTTTCTCCATGGGAACCGATCACTGGAGATGAGGTGTAATTCTGCAGGATCCCCAGGTCCCGCCTGGAGGCTGGCATCCCTACTTTCTAGAAACTCTTGGCGAGCACGAGGAAAGGAGTCAACAGTTGGGGACCCCTGGACTAGTCTGTTTAGAGCAGCGGTTCTCAACCTGTGAGTCGCGACCCCTTTGGGGGTCGAACGACCCTTTCACAGGGGTCGCCTAAGACCATTGGAAAACACAAATTTTTGATGGTCTTATGACAGCAACGAAAATAATTTTATGGTTGGGGGTCACCACACCATGGGAAACTGTATTAAAGGGTCGCGGCATTAGGAAGGTTGAGAACCACTGGTTTAGAGAATTCGAGTTCATGAATGGGAAGGGAAAGGAGTTTGTAAGCCACTCTGAGATTCCAAATGAAGGGCGGGGTATAAATCCAATCTCTTCTTCTCCTCTCTTCTTCTTCTTTCACATGCTCTTTACTTTTCTCTTGTAAAAGTTCCGTGACAGCAAGTATCTGTGTGTTGGGGGCGGGGGGGGGAGTGAAGATGTAGCCGTCCTCTTTAGGCCCCTTTCTGAAATTTTCCATTTCCATTTTAAAAACAGATACAAAGAAAAATCACGCAGTGAGATCCCACCTAGTTGCTTACTAAGTGCTAAATTTTCTCCCCATGTTCCACTGTCTTAATCCACACACTGTAATCGCTGACTAACCCTAACCTGGTTTAAATTTTACAGATATATTATGTTAAATATTTAATACACTTATAAGAACATAAGAGAAGGCAATGTTGGATCAGGCCAATGGCCCATCTAGTCCAACACTCTGTCACACAGTGGCCAAAAATACCAGGTGCCACCAGGAGGTCCAGCAGTGGGGCCAGGACACGAGAAGCCCTCCCACTGTTGCCTCCCCCAAGCACCAAGAATACAGAACACCCCTTGCCCCAGCCTGAGAGTTTCTATCTGTACCTTGTGGCTAATAGCCACTGATGGACCTCTGCTCCATATATTTATCCAATTCCCTCTTGAAGCTGTCCATACTTGTAGCTGCCACCACCTCCTGTGGCAGTGAATTCCATGTGTTAATCACTCTTTGGGTGAAGAAGGAGTCTCTTTTATCCGTTTTAATCTGACTGCTCAGCAATTTCACGGAGTTCCCATGAGTCCTTGTATTGTGAGAAAGGGAGAAAAGGACTTCTTTCTCTACCTGCTCTATCCCAGGCATCATCTTATAAACCTCGATCATTGCTTCAGACATATCAGGCCAACAGTGTTTAGTTTCAGACTATCTTGCATGGCACTTCACCACCTGATACACAGAGGGATGCCACCTTTGGGCACGAAGCTTCCATGGCGCTCTCCTGGAACAACCACTGATGGACGTGTCCCTCTCTAAATTTGCCCGAGCCCGTTTAAAAACCGTATCGACAAGCAGCTACCCTCGTGTCCTGTGGCAGTGAGTTCTGCAGGCTAACGACTGCATTAGCATCACGCCGCCAGAATAGCAAAATTCCCCTCGAGGCTTCACAGTTCCGCAGGGCCTGCAAGACGGAGCTCTTCCGCCAGGCATTTCATTAGGGGCCGCCGCTGTCGTAGAACCCGGCTCAGGGTTTTAACATCGAGCCCTGGCCCGTGGCTTTAACATCGAGAACAAGGGGTCCACATGTATGCAGGCATAGTGTCTAAAGTGGGTTCTCCCGTTTGAACTGGCATCGATGAACTAATTACCCACACTCTACATTGTGTTTTGTCTTAGCTAGAATCTTGCTGTTTTTTTAAATTGTATTTTTCCATGTTACATTGTATTTTTCCATGTTACAATCAAGCACATCCCTATTCCCACACATATTGTATTCTCTACCCTCCCTCCTCCTTCCTCAAAGTTTATAACTGTTTCTGTGTCTTCGGCAATAGTCCTTTATATAGATCCTCCTCCTTCTGTCCTTCTTGCTTCCTCTGTTTCCTCCCGTCCTTCATACTTTTCTTCTTCCTTTTTCTCTTTAAATTCGTAGCCGAAGATTATTCCTGTTCTGTAATCAGAGGTGGGGAGTTTTAGTATGACTTGGATGGTTATTTTTCTCGCATATTATTCATCTGCCTTTTCTTATTTTCTATCCCCCACCCCTCCTTAACTACTTATCCTTTCTAGCCAGGGGCACAAACCTAGGAGCTTCCACCGAACGTCAGACCTTTGACCTTCCATGACCCATTTTAAATACAAATGCCACTTTTTCTTAATCTTTCCTATTTTTGATTCCCATGCTTCTTCTTGGTTAGAAATAGTTATTATGTCTGATTGAATATATTCAAATAAATAATTCTGCCAATTTGCTACTGTCCATTTGGTTTTATCTTTCCATCCAAATGCTATTACGGCTTTTCCAGCTAACACCATTGCTTTAAATAAGTCCTCTCCTTCCAATACGTCGGTTGCCTAAATTGCTGCTTAGCATGTTTCAGATCTATCTTCGGCCTTATTGTAAAGAACTTATAGAGCTGCTCTGCCACCTTCTCCCAAAAACTCTTAGCTTCTATGCACTCCCACCACATATGGGAGTACCATCCTTTCCCATTCCTGCAGTGCCAACAGTTTGAGCTTAGTTGTGGGAACATATTGGCTAGTGTGGCCGGGGTCCTGTACCATTTAGTATAACATTTCATTTCCAATTCTCTAAATTTATGTACTTTTATCTCGTGTGTACCTTCTATAATTCTATTGACTGTTTGATCCGCTAAACAGGTTTCTGCACTCCATTTTCCCTGAATAAGGGTTCTTATTTGATCCTTGTCAATTGCCATTTTCCTATATAGTCTGCCTGCTAATCCTCTTTTTGCATTTGTCATTGATCGTAACAACTCCTCTATTGGCTCCGGCGGGGTATAAATCTGATAAATAGACAAATAAATAAATTATTACCTTTCTCCTCTTTCTCCCAGCTCTCTCCATGTACATGCTCGTCTCCTTCGAGGTCGAAACCGGGATCACAAGCGCCTGCATCCTGTCCTCGGGCATCCTCGTGCTGCTGATCACGGGGACCCACGTGCTGATCCGAGCGTCCAGAGCTGCGTGGCGCGCTCGAGGCGAGGGATCTCACACCCTCTACGAGAACGACTCAGCCCGGGGTGGCGACACCCCCAGTGCTCACCTCAACAACGCCAAGAATGTGGTCACGCCGAGGCCGAGGCCAGAGATTCACCGCGAGTTTTCATATCCACCGTACGTAGAGCAGGAGTCCCACCTTACCACCCCAGCGAGCAGCAACGTTGCCTCTTCGGGGAGTCCCGGGGCAACGCCTGAGAAGGAGAGCTACACCGTCCCCAGAATGCACCGGACGCTATCGGCCGAGTCTGGCCTCCTGCAGGCACATGGGAAGCCGTGGAACGGAGTCACGCAAGAAATGAGGAACGTCTTATCCCGGAAGCTGGCCGGATCTGGGAAAGATTCAACTCTGGTGTAGGCCTCCAAGCAGGGAGTGTACATCGTGGCAGAGGTCTCCACAAAGTAGATGACCCCCTTGTAGGAACTCCAAGGATTATACCCTGAGATCAGGAGCATCCTTGCCTCACTAGGGCCCAGGGCTATTTTTGGGCAGGAACGCACAGGAACGGAGTTCCGGCTGGCTCCCAAGTTGACCACGCCCAGCAGGAACTCATTAGCATAATAGGCCTCACCCAACAGCAGAAACTCATTAGGATTGGCTACATTAGGGGGGTGTGGCCTAACATGCAAAGGAGTTCCTGCTACAAAAAAGCCCCGGGTTTTGACAACAAACAAGATAAACAGAATAACAAGCAAAAGGTGGGTGTGGCTGGATAACCACCCTTCTGGTAACATGGGGGTGCGGCCTAATGTGGTAATGAGCTGTGTTTTCAGGGGTGTGGCCTAATGTGCTAATGAGTTCCTGCTGTTGTGTGTGGCCTATTATGCGAATGAGTTCCTGCTGGGCTTTTTCTACAAAAAGAGCCCTGCTAGGGCCTATTATGCCCTGGTGTTTTCCCCTCGCTTTCACCGTGCATGTCCATTGGGTTTTCTTTCTCATTCTGCACTGATTTCCACCCCCTTCAGAGCTCAGTTCGCCTTCTGGTTGCTGTTTCCCTGGGTTTGAGAGCCAGTTTGGTGTAGTGGTTAAGTGTGCGGACTCTAATTTGGGAGAGCCGGGTTTGATTCCCCACTCCTCCACTTGCACCTGGCTGGATGACCTTGGGCAAGCTGTAGCTCTGATAAGAGCTGTCCTTGAAAAAGAGCAGTTTCTGTCAAGAGCTCTCTCAGCCCCGCCTACCTCACAGGCAATGCTCCCTCTAAGCTGTGGAGTCTTGTGAGCAAAAAGTCTACTTTGTGAGCTACTGGTATTAAAGTTGTGAGCGAGCGATTTGGCTATTGCATAAATTAGCCATCCTTCCAAGGCTAAGAAAAAAATGTGTGAGCCGGAGGCTAAAAAACTGTGAGCTAGCTCACACTAACTCAGCTTAGAGGGAACACTGCTCACAGGGTGTCTGTTGTGGGGAGGGGAAGGGAAAGGAGCTTGTAAGCCGCTCTGAGACTCCTTTGGGCAGTGAAGGGCAGGGTATAAATCCAATCTCTTCTTCTTCTTTGTCTGAGAGTGCTTTTGTGCCGATTTCCCCCTTGTTTCGCTTCCAAGCTGAAGTCAATTCGAAAGTGTACAGATTCCCTTGGATCCCTGCAAACCCTTTTGCTGCCCCTTGATGGTCACTCTCCCACCCACATCAAGGTCATTCTGCCCAGTCTGTACCTTCCGCCACCCTCCCCCCTTCATCGGTGCACAAGCTCCATTTTCCCCTTGGTTTAAATTTTAATTTTTTTTACAAGCGGCATGAGTGTAGTGATACAAGACTCTTCCCCCATACAGATTGAAGCCCTGTGCAAAGCATGGTGGAGTTGCAGCTGACTTTGCACATGCGCACGCACACACACACACGTTCCCAGCGATCACAGCTTGCAGTGCCGGTGTCAGTGGGTTCCGACGTGTGTTCTGTACACTCAACATGTTTCCCCATATTATGAGATCGTGGGGCTTTCCCCCATTTTGTCACAGTTGGCCGATAACACTGTGTGTGCTTTGCAATATGGAAAATGCAATGTGGAAAATGGGGCTTCCTAGCTGCTTGTCAGTTTCAGAGAAAGTCCGGTCAGTTTTAACAGTGGGCTTTCCCCCTTTGCCTGCCTGCCTTCCTGTTCCCTTTCATTCAATGAACTGATGCTAAAATGCATGCACAAAACCTGAGCAATGAGGATTTAAATGGAAGGTGCGTGCTGGATGTGTAAATAAAAAAAAAATTCAGACCCCCCCCCCACATGACACAAGTGATGTTTCACCCTGATTTAGAAAAGTGTTTGTTTTTTTTTTACATTGTAGCTGCAGAATAAATACAGCAGAGGAAAAAGAATGGTGCGTAAGGCAGGCATAGAATCCAAATTCAAGATTAAGGGCTTCCCGCTCTGAAAATCTGCAGCGAGATGTGCGTGCATCATGGGCCTAGGTAAAAGGTAAAGGTTCCCTTGCTCGAAAGCCAGTTGAATCCGACTCTAGGGTTGCGGTACTCATCTCCGTTTCAAAGCCGAAGAGCCAGCGCTGTCTGAAGACGTTTCCGTGGTCATGTGGCCGGCATGACTAAACACCAAGGCACACGGAGCGCTGTTACCTTCCCACCGAAGTGGTACCTATTTATCTACTTGCAATGTCTTGCTTTCGAACTGCTAGGTTGGCAGGAGCTGGAACTAGAGACGGGAGCTCACTCCGTCTTGCGGCACCCAGGTCTTGAACTGCTGAACTACTGACCTTCCACAGCCTGCAGTTCAGCGTCTTAACCACTTGAGCCACCGCAGCTCATGGGCCTAGATGAGACCAAATGTCTCTTTCGATAGCCAGTCACATCATTCCTGGGCATTTCCACACAGGAAAGAGGAGACCGTCTGTCTGTCAGTCAGTCTACACCACAGGTCCCCGACCTCTTTGAGCCTGTGGTCACTTTGGGAATTCTAACAGAGGGTAGTGGGCGCAACCACTAAACGGCTGCCACGGGATGCAGAGCCAGCCACAAAATGGCTGCTTTCAGGAGGCGGAGCCCGCCACACAGGTAGGGAGGCCAGCCTCCAGGTGGGACCTGGGGATCCCCCGGGATTACAGCTCATCTTCAGACTACAGAGATCAGTGGACGCTTTGGAGGGGGGGACTCTGCGCCGTTTGACCCCACTGAGGTCCCTGTCCTCCCCAGGCTCCACCCCCAAATCTCTAGGAATTTCCCAATCTGGAGCTAGTAGCAATCCCACGCCAACCCGTCCCCCGCCAGTGGCCGGGGAAACCTGGCGGTCCTACACACAGAAGACGCTTCAGTGCCGAGAAGAGAAGCACGTTCACTGGGAACGAGGAACGAGAGAGAATGAAACCAGCTGCCACTGAAGCAGTGTTACTTTAATGCGGCCAGCCAATTGGCTCTCTGGTGGCTCATCACGAGCCCTGCTGGGCGGGAGCCCCACTTGCTTTCTAAAAACACTTGGTGGGCACCCGGGAAAGGTGTCGGCAGGCGCCACGGCGCCCGCGGGCACTGCATTGGGGAACCCAGGTCTACACATTTATGTCCTGCCCTTCCCACAAGGAGCTCATGGCAGTGTACAGAGAGCCAGTTTGGCGTCGTGGTGAAGTGCGCGGACTCTAATCTGGGAGACCCGGGTTTGATTCCCCACTCCTCCGCTTGCACCTGCAAGCCGTAGCTCTGTCAGAGGTGTTCTCTCAAGGACAGTTCTGTCAAGAGCTCTCTCAGCCCCACCTACCTCGCAGGGTGTCTGTTGTGGGGAAGGGAAGGGAAAGGAGCTTGTAAGCCGCTCTGAGACTCTGAGTGAAGGGCGGGATTTAAATCCAATCTCCTCCTTCTCCTCTTCTTCTTCTACAGGGTTCTCTCCTCCTTCATTTTACCATCATAAGAACCCTCTGAGGGAAGGGAAGGCTGAAAGCCTGGCCTAAGGTCACCCAACGAGTTTCATGTCAGAGCGGGAAGCAGGGGTCGTTTCGTAGAAAAAGAGCTAGGGGAACTCATTAGCATATGCCACACCCCCTGACATCACTGGAAGTGTGTCATAAGGCCACACCCCCTGACATCACCGGAAGTGTGTCATAAGGCCACACACCCCGCCCCCAACGGTCCTGGCCACCGCCGCTGGCCTTGCAGCTCCACTGCCGAGCTTCATGAGGGGCCTGGCAGTGGACCTGCAAGGCCGGCGGGAGGACAAGGAAGCCCCGCGAAGGCTCTCCCTGGCCCCAGGCAGGCAGGGGTGGGGAGACGCAGGGAGGAAGCAACTT